TGACTACTGAATGATTCTGAAATTATGTTATTTAAGGTAATAGCTATTTAGTGTTAAGAATGCTGGTAAGCTTTTGGGATGAGGCTGGTTGTAATTACAAGTTGAAGACTTCCCTTTAAAAACCCTCAGTAAAAATATACTGATTTTTCAGTAATCTGAACTTCAGAATTGACATGTTTTCAGCATCTTCTCTGACTACATCATGACCCTGTGGACTCTAAAACTACACCCAGAGCTTATTAGTCCAGAGCAAAAGTCAAACTTTGTTATAAGTAGAATTTAAACAAACCCTCCCCCCCAAAACAAAACCAAAACAATCAAACAAACAAACAAACAAACAAAATAAAAAAACAGGCATAGGAAAACTCTTAATAGCTGAAACATTTTTATCAGTTTTGCTCCTCAGGGCAACAACTCTGAGTTTTGGAACATCAAGTCAAGGCTGTTTGGTGAAGTGTGATGCTGCCAACATCTTCTTGGAGGATAGAGACAGAGTCAATGGAAAATGGCCCAGCATTACATCACAAACAACAGCTCAGTATCCATGCTAAATTCAGTGAATCTGAAATTAAAGACACAATGGTGTTCTTCAACCTCCACTCAGTGGGCTATTTAGGGGGTGAAGAGTTGTGTTTAGACAAGAAAAAAAAAAAGAAAAGCAAGGAAACTTGCAGCCCTCATAATACAAGGAAACTCATTGTTATGAAGTTGCTTACATTTCTTCTGTTGCCAGCCACGTTAACCTATTTCTCTACTGGGTTAGAAAAAGTGCTTTAATAACAGCAAGCCAGATAGTAGGTGGGAGTGAAGCAATATAGTTACTCCAGTTAATAAACTAAGTCTGTTACAGAGACTTTATTTTAGCGCTGGCAGATTTTTGCCATCCTCTTTATAACAACAATAGAAGAGGAACAAAAATCTCTCTTTGCTAGACTATCAACAAGTACAAAATCATTCAGAAGTGTATTAGACATACAGAGACATATTTGTGTTGCTGATCTGTCTGGATGGCCTCCAAAAAAGCCAGTTGCTTGATGTAGGTCAGCCAGAGTACAGAGCTTTGCATGACAAAAAAAAACGACAATACAGTCAAAAAGCAAGTGGGTATTTTGCCCTTTATTGTCCATTGGCCATTGTTCTATTTTTGAGCTTACTTTACTACTGTGGTTTTCCTTCCTTTGGATTTTAATTAAACTCTTAGGCTTATTAGCTTGACATTTTCATCTTCTTTTTTTCTTTTTCTTTTATAGTTTAAAAATGAAGGAATCCTGTTTACTAGGCCACTTTTCCCCAAATCTCACTGCTCTATCTATAATTTAAATAGGTCATTAATGCACAATATCCCAATAAAACTTTGTGAATTTTGATCAGGAGGGTATAACAAGCTTTTGACTATTTTGAAACTGATTATCACTCATTATGTAAAATACACATGGTGTTCACAGCTGTGCAGTAGTAGAAAAATCTTAGTTTAAGCCTAATGGTATTGAACTCTGAGCCAGATCATATCAAAAGTGTTTGATGTTGGCTGCCAGGTGACAACTGTGTCCCCACTAAAATCCAGAAGGCATTTTGCTGTTCCTTTCCTTGCAGCCAAGATTTCAGCTTGTTACAGACAGCAAATACGAATTCCTTTTCTCTTTGCTTTTCCAATTTTCTTCTTCCACACAAATCAATCTTGCACTCATTCAGATTTATTAGATTTACTCTCAAATCATCGTGCTATAACTGAGAACAGAATCAGACCCAGCAAAACATTTTGCCTTCAAAATAATTAGCTGCATTCTACAGTGTCCTATTTTTGTCCAGCTATATATGCTGTCTGGAGAACCTATATAGTGAATTTACACAAGCTGTGTAACAAGAGTCCTTTTATAACATGGACTACCCTGATTAGAGAGAGCCTTATAAAGACAGAGCACCACACTTGGATAATTCACGTGCATAGAATCCACATACAGACCCAAAGTTATTGACCAGGCAGATTAAGTTTTTCTGATCATTACACTGTGCTTTTTTAAAAAATAAAGTGCTATTTCCTTATGGCTAAACTATTGCATGCACAGTTCAGACTGCATTGTCAAAAATCAAAACACCTTGACCAAAAATGATGGAGCCTAAGCACTAGGGCAATGACAGTTTTTGTTGGTTTGTTTGTTTGTTTGCTTGTTTCCATTTTAGTTTGCATTCCAACAGAATTTTTGTCCAACATAGAGCACGTGAACACACAACACTTCCCTTCACTGTTCCCCACACAGAGCTGTTCACAGAAGAGGAATATTAAGGAGGAATGTTTCTAAAGCCACAGACAACTTCTCCACTTATTTCAGGTTTTGTGGTTTATCTTTTTTGTTTGTTTTTCTTATATTTAAAATTATGACAAAACATTATAAGAAAAGCTTTCTTTAAGTAGTTAGAATATCAAATAGTATTTGTCAATCCCTGAATCATGCTATTCAAAGTGCTTAAATCTACACCAAAAATAGGAGAACAGAAAAGTACTTCCCATGTGGCTAAGAAAAGACCTACCAATTGTCTAAATGTGATTGTGGTCAAATAATTACATCCTACATTTATTTCATATCCCAGTCTTTACACCAGGGTATGTAAAGGGGAAAAAAACAACTAATGCATTGCTTTCAGAGCATCCTCGGGTTTTTGGGACAGTTGTGTTTTAACCTGGATGGAAATTAGGCAGCTCACTGCCACTCACTCAACCCCTCCCCTTCTCCCCCCCTCAGCCCAGTGAAAACCAGGACAGGCATCCAGATGAATGAAGGAAAATGCCATCAGTGCCTGACAGGTGTCTGTAAGAGCAAATAAATAACAGCTTTCTTGAAGAAAAAGTGCAAAACTCTCTTAAAATTTTATGTGACCTGGCAGCCTAATTTCCATTTTGTGGATGTTTGGCACATGTCAAGAGACACTATAGTAAAGAACAGACTGTAGAAAAGAAATTGAGCTTAATCTCAGAGAAATAAGCATTTTAAGCAAATAGAAGTCAGTGCAGACCTCAAAGGTCTATTAGCTTCTTATGCAGATACTGAGATTTCTTGACTTTCACAACAGGAGCACAGTCATTTCCTCCCACACTGTCAGTTCTGGATTGCTCCCACAAACATCCTCCAACCTACAGCTTCTCCACTCACTTCTCATTAAGAATACCAAAATATTATAAGCTATACTTTTCTCCTTGTGACAACCATGACGAGCAAACCCCACATCATCCATTATATTGGCCGATATCATTCAGCTGCCATAAAAATACCTAAAGCTAATTAATTACATAAATAGACTCTAAGGCCTGCTTGCCAGGACACCAGTTGGGATTCTGCCAGGGCAAATCAAACCCATGACTCTGACAGTGTGCTGCAACCAGGAGTTCTGCTCCAGCTCCTCTGCTTCTGCCAGCAGGGACGACCAGAGAGCTTGGCCTGAATGTGCTGCAGAACTGCACCACTCCTCTCTCCTTCTAAAACCAGAAAGGACTTTCTGTTATTTAAAACATAAGTATGAGCAAGGTGCTTGTTTAATTTGTCTCAAAGATGTCTGGATGTAAACACAGTGGTGGGCTTTTCATCTTCCCTGTCATCCATGGTACATGCATTATTTGCAACTCCTCAAAGATAGAATCATACATAAAAATAAAACTAATTTATTTATTCATTAAAGTGAATAAATTGTTTTTAATACTTCCAGGTCTGATTTAAATATTAATTTTGTATAAATAAAGTTTATTCTGAAAACAATTATATTTCTGGTAATCACGTCATTTTTTCTGCCTGAGTTCTTACTGAAATCATGTTGAAATTAATAAAGTTTTATTTATCGTTACAAGCTAAAACCAAATGAAAGAAGATTTCTTAATCTTGAATATATAATTTTAAAGCAAATACAGTTTTTGGAACATTAAAATACATGGGACTCTGAAATCCACAGGAAAATAATGTTTTGCTCTTACTTTTTTTTTTTTGAAAATAACACTTTCTATAATACAAAGTGACAAACCATCTACAATACTTTATCATTCTTTTTCATTCCCCTTTGGTTTGGAAGTCATCACTGTACATATCAGCAGGACTCTGCACTTCAGTGTCTATTGCCTCACTTGTCTTACTTGCCTGACATTTGCAAATGTTATTTGCAGGACTTTGAAAGTTGAAAAAAAAATAAAAATTGAGTGCTTAAAAAATAAAATCCACAACCACATTAATACTTTTCCTGGATGTGTTAAAAATAGGGTTGCTTTTATATTTATAAAAGGGATACAACCAGCTCATTCTTAAAATCAGAATTAAGAAGAAAACAAACCCAAAAAAGCAAAAACCAAACCGGCTATAGTTTCTACACACTCTAGTGACTACTGTGAAGCAACCGATACAGATTGGGTATTTTCTCTTGTTTGACAGGTATCTACCAAGTTACATGTTAGATGATCAGACTGTAGTGTTACCCCAAATGGGGGTCTTTGTAAGGGCAGGGAAGGAGCAGTGCACATTATGGGAGTAGAAATGAAACTGGAGCTCTCGGTGAGCAATGGGGTCCTTCTAAGAATAAAAACTCTCCAAAAGAGGTGAGCTGCAGCAGGCATGGCTAGGCAGGCCAACAAAATGGATGGTGCTTCTGATATCAACATAGCTTTGTCCAAGCATTCCCAAGAGAGGTTATAAACAAACAAACAAAAAGTCTAAAACTATACTAATGAAGCAAAAAAGTTTCCTATCTATACAGCAGTCTCTTCATTTAAAAAAAAATGTAAATATACAAATTCCAATGACATATAAAACAAAGTCAAAAATGTGAATGGGAAGAGACATGGGTAAAACAGGAAGACTGATGCTACAAAGAAATTGCAAAAACATATGTACAAGACCCTGTTTTTCCTCGTTTGTTATCGATTGTAATGCATGTTTAACAGCAGCAGTCGAGGATGTAGTTCCAGGCACCAGACTGCAGACTCTGCTCCTACTCAAGGGGGTCGACAGCCCCTTGCATGTCGGTCACCAAATGACACTTGATATACTGGTCTCCCGCGGCAAGAGGGGCAGTATGGCACTGTTTGTGTGAGCCTCTTCGGGGTTCTGCTCCCTGTTAGTTTTTGTCTGCGGCCGCTGCCCATTTATAAGTGTCATGGGGATGTTGCAGTAGGTGTGCTGGTTACCTATTGAGGTAAGTGGCAGGGTGCCGGCAGGAGGTACATCGTATTCATAGCTTCGATAATAGTGTTTCTGGCGCATCTGCGAATGATATGTGTTATGAAAGGTGGAGCGCAGGTCTGGATGGGCAGTGGCAAGAGCAGTGGAGGTGGCAGCGGCCATGGAAATTGCGGAGACTGTCTGCAGTTCCCCAAAGGGCCCCTGCTCACTGACATCTAAAACCTGCTCGTTTGTCATGGGTTCAATCCTCTTAAAAGGCATTTCGTACTGTAAACGTTTCCAGAACTTGGAATTCAACTTGTTGCATTTTGGTCCATGCCATTTAATGACAGTGAGGAGCTTGATGGTATGTTTTAGGGCCTCAACCTCCTGGTAGTTCATAACTCCTCGGAGTTCACTGCACTCAATCAGTATCACTTTGATTTCTCCCGTGACTAACATATTTCGAAGCCTTGTTTCCAGTTCAAAGATGCTCCAACCTCTTCTTACCACGTAACTTGGAGTCATGACGATGATCAGTCGCTTGCTTTGGTCTACACATCTTGCCACATCTTCAATGTAGGCTACAAAACAAAACAATTGCTCAGAAAAACAATCTAAGAAAATAGTCTGCTCTCATACACTGGTGAGAAACAAGAGGCAAATCCCTGCTCCCAGAGGATGTCACTGAAATATGCAAAAAACATCAACTGCAAATATGCCAGGCTGGCCTGGCAGAACATGGTCTTGAACAACCTGCTGTATGTGGACCTCCTTCAGCAGGGAGGCTGGAACAGATGACCTCCACAGACCCTTTCCAACCTCAACCATTCTGTGATCCTGCAAAACATCTACTCCCACACTTGCTATGGATTCTGAGTGTTCATGAGCTGTGGCTTTGTATCACCTATGTCGCTATAGGAACAAATATGTCCATCGTGATTTTTACCTTTAAAAAGGCAAAGTCACCCAGTTAGACAACAGAGCAGCAGCCATGTGCTTCAGGACCTCAGTCTCAAACCCAAATTATACTCTAAGTTTTTTGTTAGGCTTTGACTCTGTTTTTCTTTCATATTCCTGCCATACACATTCATAAAAACAGTGTTGTCTCCTGTAAATTAGTCTTAGTTTGCTGTAGATTTAAAAAATATCCATGAGATTGTTTGATGTTCTATATTGTGCTCTGTCTATACCAGCCATCCTTTATCTTTCATTGAAGGTATTGAACTTAGTTGCTGTCTATATGGTTACACTGAAGTCATGAAGAATATTACAACAACTGACAAAACATTACTGTACTTATGTAGGAATATGTGAGAGAAACATGAAAAAGATCTACTTGTACCAGTGGAAACCAATTCTAGTGTTCAGTCTCTGAGAAGATCCACATTTGTCTACAGTAGACACTGACAGAATTCACTGTTTTTGTCTGGTGTAGAAATTATTATTCAAATATTGCCTGAGTTCAAAATCAACTTTTTCTTTCTTGTGAAATTTTGGTATCATTTATAAATATAATTTATATATATATATATATATATATATATATGTATATATATATAAAAATATAATTTATATATATATATATATATAAATTTGTGTGAATTTCTGTAATACTTAGACTCATGGATATTTTTTCCAAACAAAATCTAAGGAACAGAAAAGAAAGAACTTGGTATTCATTCCTAGAGATGCAAGTTCTCAAAAAATCTCAAAAATGTTAGTCTCTTTCATTTCCTTTATTTATGCATGCCCTTTCTGTGCTATTTTACCTCCAGTTAAAACAATACAATTACTGAATAATAATCCTCTTATCTGGGAAATGCACATTAATGTTTGGTGGCTTTATCTTCAACATTCTCTAAGACATGGGAGAAAAGATGACATTCTGAAGGAGTAGGTAGAGAAACAAGACTAAAACAATCACTGCAACCACTTATTTTCTCCTTCCAAGTCACATGAGAATAAAGACATTACTTACTTCCTGTGGGAATCAAATCTCTGTCTGGTATGAACAACTTGTATCCATAATGCTTTTCCAGCATATCTGGTAGAATCTCAAGAGCAAATCTTTCTTCCTCTCCAGTTTCTTGATTCCACTGGTCAGGATCCACTTTGGTATAAGATAGATATGCATCATAGTCTTTGTTGTCTAAGGAAAGACAAAAATTCAGTTAGCTTATTCCATAGTCTAGTAGGTTTCCCAGATATTTCCCCAGGTATTATTTCTGGGAGAATTTTCCAGGAATAGGAAATGGTTTAGATAAAGTGGCAAGCTTTCCCCCAGTCTCCAGATATGCATCCATTCAGCTTTCCTGTTTCACCTGGTAGAGATAATCCTTAGTTACACAGATGCAAGGAAGAAGGGCTCCATATCCATAGGCAGAAGTCAGTTTATGTAAGAATCTGGATGAAGGAAATCCACTCAAAGGCAAAGTGACAGCTCATGAGCACCAAAGTCAAAAGTCACTGAGAAGAATTTGCATTTTTCTCTAGCATAAAAGGAGAAAGAAGAGCATGGAAATAATTAAGCTAATGTGTAAATGTTAAATGCTATGCATAGTAAAAGCATTTCAGTCTTGCCAAAATTTTACTATAAATTTAGGACCTGGAGCTAAAATGCTCTTAGTGTACATATAGTATTCCTTGTAAAACTCTTTAACTCTCCAGGTCTGAAATTATTGCCAAGCTTAAATCTTTGCAGCATCAGCTCCTGATGTTGCAGTTTAAGTTTCTTGAATTCTGTGCACTTTAATTTGCAAATTTAATGTTGCATTAATGTACATTTCATTCCTTAACAGTGTGTTACTTCAGTATGAGAAATAACCATGCCTGAGTTTTAAATGTGCTTGGTGTGCCTACTTGAAAGACTGAATCAAAAGAGCCACCATTAATTCTCATTAGGAGGTCAATAATGCCAAGTGCTCTGGAACTAATTCAGTGGAATAAGAGGTCACGTTTTGACTTTTGTTGTGAAGAAAGCAGAGGAAAATCAATGACAAGAGTAATGAAATGTTAACATCCTTCTAACTCTCTTGACAACATTATGAACAGACTACCCAGAATATCAATTGATTGTAAGAGATCTGACTGAATACTCTAAATACTGTGTCATAAGTAATGTTATATTCAGCCAGTGCTGACTTCATTTATTTATTGAGCCACTCCTTTCTTCATTTTACACCTTTTTGTAGTCTGGTAGCATTATTTTGAAAAGCCTGCCAGCTGTAGGGTGGATGCAAGGAGTGTAAATGAAATTAATGGAGCGGTGCTAATCTTGAGCAGTCTTCAATCCCTTTTGAGGAACCATGTGCACTATGCTCATTAACATTTGCAGATGACAGAACAAATGTGGTTGTAGTGTTACTACTTTTAAACTTTCTAAACCCATGAAATGACCATGTGCTCTTTCTGTGCCCTGCACATCTTTTGTGGGATATTATCTATTGGATTGTTAATAGCCACAGAAAAAAAACAACAAAACCAACAAAACAAATAAAAAACAACAACCAAAACAACAGCAAAAAAAGGAAACTAAGAAAAAAAAGAAGCACTGCCTTTTATAGTTCACAGTTTCCATGATTTTTTGGGAGTATTTATGAAAACATGTCTTTTAATAACAGACAAGCATCTCCTGCCTTTGACAATGCCTTAAAATAAGACTGATTGGATCAAGTATGATATAGAGGGACATACACAGCAGGCTTTTGTTTCTGCATTAGGGCAGTGTTAATCCAGCAAAAGAGTTATCACAGGGCGAGGCCAACAAATATATTAGGAAATTATTACAACTGACAAAATGCTGGTTACCTCAATTACAAAATTCTATTGTTACCTCATTATGGTCATGACCATGGTACATGCTTGAGACCAGTGCTGCTCTGTTCAAAGTCTTTGAGTAAAGACGAGAAGGCATCATTTTTCAAAAGAATAAATAATAAAAAATAATGCAGAATTCAAACTGTTTTAAAGGCTGAGTATTGTTTGTTAAAATGGTTTGCACATCCTTACTTGGAGAGGAAATTATTTGTGCTATGACATTGTTTTACTGCATGTGCAAATACCACACTTAGGCATGTATTCAAAGTACACATTTTTCATATAATGGAGGCTCCAGCACCTCCACTGACTACAGCTGCATCATCCTGCATTGCAGGGAAAATATCTTTCCCTCCTAGTTTTATTAGTATTTGTAGGGCAAAGAATGGTTAGGGTCTAGGGTATATCTGAAGAGATGTGTTTGGGCATCAAGCATGGGGAAGCCCTGGGGAAGTTCATCAGAATGAGGTCAAATGCAGCTTTTGCTCAGGGTGTGATGCACTCAGTCCACAAAGGTTTCAGTCAGCCCCAAAACACTGGTACTGCAAGAATCCAGGCAAAACAGTGAGTTGCAAACTGTCCTATCACTTCAACCTTTCTATGGAGATGAAAGTGAGAGGTTTTTAAGTGAGAAATGGTCATGGGACTACACTCAGCCACAGGTTCAGATAGACCTTAGGGGTAAACACTGAGGGTCAAATCCCATCTTCATTAATAACACATGGAAAGATTACTTCATTTAGTGGCCCAGGATTCTAGCCAAAATACTTGTTGCTTTACTGGAATATGCATTCTTTAATACTGCCCATTCCTTTTGATACTCATCCAAATGCAGAGTATGCTCTCATACTCCCTGTGACTTTCTACAATGTTAATCCAACAGAAGTGATATAAATTTTTTAGGGGATGAAGCTGTAAATGCTTCTTGTTATTCCAAGGATGTGCTCAGCAGCAGTCACTTAAAGGCTCAATGTAAGCATAAAATGAAACCCAGCCTATATATGCATCTACTTTTTCACATGCAAATGGGATCTTTGGGTAAGTAAATTGCTATCAGACATCTAAGAACTCATCTGTATGCATGCTCTCTTAACAGCTACACATGAAGAAATGATAAGCTGGTGCCTACAGAAAGAAAGATAAAACTTCCTCTTCTACAGGGACCACCAGACAGATTTAACATCAAATTTGCATTATAGATGTGTGTATTTTCTACTTACTTCCATGTTGCACTGCAAGAAGTCAACAGTTTGGGCCTTTAAGGGTTTATTGGACTTAAACACTGAAGATATTTCTGCTAATGGGGGACAGAAAAGTTATATACATGCATAAAAATTTAAAAAAATAATAAAAAAAATATAGAGAAATTTTTTCTTATCAGTCATGTTTGAGCCAGTGACAAATTCTGACTTTTAGCTGGCACAATACATTCTAGCACAAGACAGATTAAGAGAGCAAAAGAAGGACAAATTCCACAATGCTACATTTTATAGTGAGCCTTCAAGTGAGTTTCAATGAAGCCTTAAGACCTAGACAGTGGAGTCAGCTCATGTGTCTGTGCATCCTGAAATGCTCAGAGTAGTGTGCAGTGCCTTCAGAAACATTCAGTGCACTGGAGGCAGCTGACCACACACAGGGTGCTCCACAGCTCAATGCAGCCAGCAAGATCTTCCAGATCTTCTGGGCAGATCTTCCAGACCAACAGGGAGCTGGACAGCTGATTCCTCTCCTTCAGCAGAGAACGTGCTCGCCTCTTAAATGCTCAGATACTCATACAGGAGCTAGGAGCAATGCACTGGTTTAACTCAGTGTTTCAGGATTTCAAGGGGAGCTTTGGCAATAGGAGATTGGATCCCCCCAGATGCCACAGGGAGCTGGAATCAAACAGATACAGGAAGCTTTTGTCTTAAAAAAAAGTGCTATGTTCAGGAAGGGTTACAAAGAACTTTTCAAAACTTCTCAGACTGTAGCTGCTTCAAAATTATGGCATTTCTTAATCTGTATTTGCTTCACTATTTTGGGGGCCGCATTTAATATATACATTGGGATAGTGGTTATCCTTAATATAATGAAAAAATATCATTTAATGCTGAGTTGAATAAAATGCTCAAATCCTAGATCTTTCAAAATACTTATACTTTTCCTCACACTATTTGCTGTTGCTAATGTAACATTTTCTATTATTTTTAAATGTCAAGCCCTTTTAATGTTAATAAAAATTAAGAACTACCCATACAATTTTTGGCATGGCATAGTATATTTAAGTGTAGCATTCCTTATGATAGTTCATATTCTTGTGCAAGTGAGTGATGCTGAATCGTATGGTAATGTCTTTTTTTTCTACTTTACATCTGAAGTTTGTAACCCATAACAATCTCTTGGTTTGGAATCTAAAGATGATCTTGGTAATATTTTATTTTTAAGATAAATATTTATCATATATTACACATGCACTTTAGGTGCTGTGAAATAGGAAGAGAGAAAAAAAGCAGGAATTTTCCTTTGAATTAGCACATTTCATGCATAGAATCTAGAAAATCCCATATTCAGTGGAGATATAAATTGAGTTTTTATTGTTTGAATTGCATTTCAGATGTAAATAAATAACATAAATAAGAAGAGTTAAAAGAAACAGTTTTCCAGCAATAAAATTGTAATTAAATATGAGAAAAATCCTTTTTTGTAACCAGTAATGTTCAGAAAGAAGAGAGATGCATTTTTCTAAGGTGATTTAAATAGAATTTGAAATTGATATTCATGGAGCAGGATTTCTTATCGTCACAATTTGCCAATAGCCAATAAGAATATATAAACGAGTGGTAAGACTGCTATTGAAAACTTATTTTGTGTGTCCCCAGGGAAGATTCAGTAATTGCAAAGTCACTAACTTCAGCAGTAATTTCAGTCTAGCTATACCTGCATAGCATAATCATTAACACAAGCGCTTTGGTGGTGCTTAAACCAATGGTAAAAGTTATATTTGAAAGTTAATAACTTAGTCACACAGAAATCTGAAGAATCTCAAAGCATTGCCATTCCTTGCTGCTCAAGGGTCTCACTGGGATGAAACCCAGGAAACCACTAAGAAGTATTTCTTACCTGCTCTTGTCCTGGACAGTTAATAAGATATAATCTGGGCATTCCCATAGGTTCATCCATGAGCCCTGCTAGTCTTTTGCAGCTAAATAATAGCAAGGACAAAATCATGATTACATAAGGGCTCCCAGGTGTAACAGGAACTACAAGGAAGAACCAGTTTCATCAGTCTCCTAATTTGAGCATCGATTTGCTTTCCCTCAGCAAGAAGTAGAAATTCATCTCTCATGAAAGGGCAAACAGCCCAGCCAAGAAACAGTGGAGATGTCATGTACCAAATCCAAATGAGATTTCCAGAACCAAGAGAGCTCAGCAGTGGCACATTTTAATCTTATTAGAAGCACTTTGGTTAATTTCAGCAATGTGGTAGAAAAGAAACACACAAACAAACAGAAAAAAGGAGCCACTTTCCCTCTTTCAGAACTGAAACTCCCCAGGCCTGGGCCCGGTTGCCTTCCCTGTGATGGAGCTGCACAGAGGCCATGGCTTCCTTCAGCTCACCGAGGCTTCCATGGCAAGGAAAGCTGAGAAGAAGATTGAGGACATCACAATGAGCTCCTGCCCAATATTTTAGAAACAGCTGATGGAACCTAATGGCACCAAGGGTCATTGTGAAGGCCATAATTTCAGCTCTTAAAGAAAGCTCTCACTTTCTAGTTATCAGTTGCTAACACGCTTTTTTTCTTGAGCCTAAAGCTTTACTTGTCAGCATAGATGTGAAAAAGGCTATTTATGTAAATTTCATTAGAAAACTATCTGCAACGGATTTAGTCAGATTTTGTCTTTAATTACTACTTGTTTTTGACAGCCTCCTAATGCAAAATTTCTCCTTTCTCCTTTCTCTTTTTTTTTTTTTTTTTTATTGTGTTCACCTTGGCTTATTAATTCCTTGCTAAAATACTTCCACCAGTTTAAAAGGTTAAAAATCTACCCAGGTAATGGTAGTGGCAGATACCTGCAAACTGTTTCTACTATTAGCTTTACCATATGGTCCTGCCTCTGAAACTAGAATCTAAAACACAAACAAGTAGAAGTTTTTGAGTTCGTGTGCCTATCTCACCATGTCCGATGGTTTTTAGCCTGTCTTCTATAGACTTCTGGATTTATCCATAATGTAAATTTAAACTGGCATACAGTCATCCACATATGCACTGGAATCTCTCAGATCTTGAAATGGCAAAAAAAAAGTTAGAAATAGTTGTTTTGGTCACTTTGAGCCTCCTATCCACTCTGAGGCAGGGCTGTACCTGGCACTGCCGAGAAGTGACTCCCCACCCCCATTGTGGCTGATGTGGCTGTAATGCCTGGAGACTGATCCTTGCACAATTTGGTGTGCAGGAATGGTACAAAGGAGAAAGTTGTCCCAGGTAAAACAATGGGAAAATTTCCACTGATTTTAGGGTGCCTGGAAGTCAACTTATATCTTGATAAAGAGCAGATTTCTATATAGTAGTAATATCTCTTCTGATAGAAACAGCTTTTAAGGTCACAGAGTGCAAGCTAGAAAAAAGTCAGGGCATGTGTTGATCGCAGGTACTTGTAAATGGTTATTTGCATTTTCACTCTGTCAGTTAAAGTACAATATGTCTTTTCATAAAGCCATTTAATAACTGGGAACAACAGCAAGAGAAGGTCCTTGGAAAATAAAAGTACATGAAAAGCAACTGCTAAAATCCTCCACAGAGAGTGAATATGATATAAAATCTCTTTTGTTGTAGCTCAATGTACAAGAAAATAGAATAAATCATCACTTCTAAAAGTGGCTTTCACTAATATAATTTTGTCCCTAAAGTGCGCTTTATGGACAAGGCTTTTTAAAACAAGCTTTTAAGTTTAAAGCTGTAGAACTATAAAGGTTACCTGGCATTTGACAAAGATTAGCCCTCAGAAGTTCCCAGTGAAGTATCTACTTCTGAAAATGCTGTTTTCAGAACAGTACAGGACATTTCTTTGTTGCCATAGCACTTCAAGCTATCATCTTTACTGCGTATGCGGAGAGTTCTTGAACTGGATTTTTCTTAAACAGGTTTGTGAGTCTCTGGCCACCAAACCAGTAGTGGTTCATTATGGCTCAGAGATGCAAGGCCATGCCAAACACCTGCAGGTGAAAAAGCTCCTACTTTTCCAAGGGTCAGAGTGTTTCTGTAGCCCCAGTGCTCCCGTGCCTGGTAGAGCTGTCAGGGGTTCACAGCGAGGTGTCCTGACCGGACAGGGGCACCCATCCTGTGCCACTCTGCACTGGAGGACACATTGTGGTGTCCATCACGCCATCCCCACGGCTGGAAAGCACAGGCATGGAGTCAGAGGAGAATCAGCAATATATACTGATATTACTAATGTTCCAAATTAGTAGGAAAGGCAGAGAATCAACCACAAAAACAAAAAGAGGGCTTCAATTCCCGTTCCCAGGACGGAGCTGCAGTGTCTGCAGGACAGGAAGAAAACAGAAGGAGAGTCTTGTCCTTAGGCTGAGAAAAAACACTGGGAAATGCAACACTGTAAGTTAGAGAAATGAGGAATCGACAGCTGTGGTCACTTGGTTAATCTACAGTGTCCCTACAGAAAGTAATAAATTGAGTTGCATTAGCTGTAAGGGTTAAATACTTTGTTTTCAAATACTTCTCACAATTTGCCCATGCCTCCCACAAAAATGCGTATGTTAGTTAGCCTGAGAAAAATTGATGTGTCGAAGGCTTGGAAAGGAAAAAGGAATTGTGATGAGATTTGACATCCTGAAGGGCTTGTTCTCTGATCAGGGAAGAAATGAAGCATTGAATTTTAAAAGAGATTTTCAACTGAAAATTTTAATTGGACCTCACCTTTAAAGCGTTTCAAATCCTCTCTGGGTACAATACAGCACACATAAAAAAAAGACTGTGATATTTTGATGTTTGCTCATCTCCGTGCTGTCCTGCAGTATGACAGAACATGGTGTAAATTATGAATAGAACGTGGGCGCTCTGCTGCTGCACTGCAGGAGATGCGGTTGGAATAGGATTTTAGAGTTCAGCATTTTGTGTCTGTCAATAACAAACTAAGCCAAAGGAAGGGATCTCGGCAATTTATTTCTGCACAAGTCATGTCCTGGGCTTCTGTGAAACTTTTTCTCTCCATCTTCCTTCTTTTGCATGTGTGTAAGTGAAAGAGAAGATTGCAATGTGCTGCTGCAGTTGCTTCATTAGCATAATGGGTTTTATCCATGTTGCCAGAACACTGAACACAGTGCAAGCTACATGTTTTCATTAGGAATTTGTAAGTAGTAGTTTTCTTTTTATATTGCTATGGTTGAGCACCCAAGTTATTAGTAATCAATAATCAGTGTCACTGATCTTCTAAGGAGATCCCATGCTTGACCTTCTTTAGCAATGACCTTTGCTCAGAAGGATAAACTGAATAGATATTGGTTTTCCTCCTTTTGAATCACAGAACAGTATCCTTTAGAGGTAACTTTTTTTGATATTTAAAATCTGTGATTCAAGTATTGCTGTTCCCAAGTGAGCAGTGTTTGGGATGGGACAAGAGAGAGAGGTAAGAGGGTAACGCTTGGCAGAGTAAGTCTGCAAATGAATTGGAATTATTTGAGAAAATGAGAAACAACAACTATAAAAGCAAGAATTACTGATACTAAGAGAGAAAAAAATAAATTACCTCTACCCAAACAATTAATTTTTAAGTGTCTATTTCTGCATATTCTAATCAGACTATTATTAAATTCACATAATTTATGGAAGTAAACATGCCCACTTAAACTGGCAGCTGCTTTGTGGATAGGAGAGGATCTTCTGAAAAATATGAAGGTGTCTGTCAAAATCCTTCACAAATCACAGTCCCTCTGGGCCTCAGTTTCCTCCTCAGTAAAATAAATAGAATAACCTGACTTTTTTCTTCATTGAACTGCTACATTAATGAATCTTTTTGTAAATCCTGTAGAAAGTTACAAAATGTTCTGATGTTCTTGGGTTGTTGTTGTTCTTAGCATTTTCTATTTTGAATCCTTGTGCATTTTTAGATGGGAGGCAGAAACGGGTCATTCCCTAGTGATTTTATTATGGAAGTCTTATGTAAGGACTTGTAAGTCTGCAACTGCTCTTTTCCTTATCAGTGACAGATTTAGCCATCACTCGTTTATGAGTACTTTATTTTATTTTATATTTATCTGTATTTATTTTAAAATATCACAGTGACTTCTGCCTACAGGCTATTACCTTGACCTGTAAAAAGACCTTTTATTAGTATTTCTGTTGGAAAAAATGTCCTGTCACCAAAGACATAGTGGTAACCCAAAACATCAGGAATTTTGACCCAAGAAACCAAATCTAATTAATCAGAGATTGCAGCTCAACCCAGTTTTCTGTTCAACAACAATTTTGATTAGTAAAGCTAGAGGCAAATAAGACCTTTTCCTTCAGTCCTTAAAAAAAAATAAAGATGAAAATGCATGTATATGTTTGACAGAGATGGTGCACATATTGTGGGTTACTTTTGTTTACGCTGGATGTTTTTGAATCACAGAACAACTTTAAGACCATTTACAGCCTGTTCAGTGATTAAGTAAATGAACTCAAGCAAATGAACTACTGGGTACATTCTCAAACTCTCAGTAGAGTTTATTGAAACTGATCAGTTTAAATAAGGAGTAAATTGAGATTCACTTCAACCTCTACCTATTTGTTGAATAGAATTAGAGAGAACACCCCCTATCTCACAGAGAAGTAAAGCTGGCTTTCAGTGCTGACAGGAAGTGAAAACGTTTAATGCGTACATGTTGGCAATTTACATTCAGTGTTGGGAATAAAAATCAAAGTAAAAAAACACATGGATGTCATCTGGAGCTCCAGAGAGCGGGACACACATCAGCTCAGCAGTGACTGTGCTTACATGCTGTATGAGGAACATATATTCAAGTCAGCACTTAAAATTGCAGTTGTTAACACATCTTGAACTGAAATTAATTTTGGGCCTCTGTGGAGAGAAATAAAAGACAGATATTCTTAGAATGTAGGAAATGTGCTAAGAAGCTGCCTTACCTCCATCTAGTTCTTCAGCTCCAAAATGATTTCTGTAGAAGAGCATAATCTCTATCTTGTAACACTTGTAGATAGTCACTAAACAAACAAGCAGCAGCAGAATAGCGCCGAGCCCACCAGCAAGCTCAACTGTGTACATCAACTCTGCAAAGAATTACAAAACTCAGTAACAACCACATTCCAAACCACAGAAAGATTAGCAGCAGACCTTGCACTTCTGTTAAACATTAAAATAAAATAATGAATGATAGGTTATTTATATATTTATTTCATTATAAAGCACTTGAATCTACCTAATTGATGGGTTTTATATTCTTCAATAAGCTGTTTTTTCCCTCTGATACACTGTAGGAATTGGTCATTTAAAAAATAAATTTTGCTGGGGATATTTGTGTGTGTGTGTCTTTGTCTATGAGTATGTGCATATATATGATATATTTTATAACTCTCTTCCATTATCTTTCTGTAGTTAGATCACAGTTTGCTTTACCTAGATAAATGTTGCCATTTGACTTAGAGTGAAAGAAAAGGCTAATGTTTCCTTTTTGAGGACTACAATGCAAAACCAGCTCTTCCCTTATTCCACATACAAATAAGATGTGGGAAAACTGGAAAATATTAATGATTTAATTATTTTTTCAATAATAATAATAATAATAATAATAATAACCTCACAAAACACTTGAGATGTGAAGACACATTATCCAAAGAACCCTACAACCTCACATCTCAGTTACATTTATGTTAGTATTTTTAACAATGTCCCAGAGGTCTGCAGTTTATTCTCACTTTTTCCCCAGTGCACACAGTTAATGTGGAGACAGAGCAAACAGTCCTGCTTTGTGTGTTGTGATGTTCCCATTCAGACCAACCCCTCGGTGTCCTCGCTGACATCTGCTCACAGGATGGATTGAGATCACCACCATGGAGCTCCGTTCCTGAGGACAGGGAGCGGTCACTTGTGGCCACCATAAGTGTCCAGCACCAGCAGAGGAGCCACTTTTCAGGCCAAAGGTAATATGCCACCATGGACTTTTGCCTCCCCCAGTTTGAAGGAAGCTCACAGAGCTTTGTTACTTTCCATTTGCTCATTGACTAAAAACTCTTTAGTGTCACAAAAGAAGGGTAGGAGGAGAGGTGCTAACAATTTTGTAATTTGAAATCACTAGATGGCAAGTCTGAAGATCTTCCTTGCTTTTCCAAATCACCCAGTTTTGAGCAAGGAAAAACCACCAGATCTTGGAAATCTAAGATACAGAGTTTTCTTCATAGAACATCTGTGCTGGAACAAGTATTCTTTGTGAGTGAAGTTGTGTGGACCTGGAGTAACCTTTTTTTGTGTATGTGTGTGGTTGTGGAGATTTGGTAATCCAGCACAATACAATTCAATTAGAGAAATAAAAGGTTAGAGGAAAAATTGACAATCGCATTTATTTGACAGCTTATACTGAGAATCACACACCTTTTTTTTTTATTATTATTATTATGAGGCAACTGTAAGAAGATTTCATTGCTCTCTAGAAGACACTAAAAGTGTAATAAAATAAAATAAAAAGGCATTGATATTCCATGTCATTCTTCCCAAAACTGTGCTGGAAAACTCCTTTGTGTTAGATATTTTTAAGACTGACATGGTTATTTCAAACTCCCAATACTTTTCTGGTCCAGAGAGGGAAATGTTATTAGAAACATTTGACAAAATATGGTTTGCATAGACAAGTAATGCAGTATTTTAGAATATAAATGGAAATGGAAATTACTCTGCACTGGCTTACTATATCTTGTTTATAATTTTGTAATACAGGTGATGCAGCTGTTCAGAACTAGAAGAAAGGCTTCAATATTTCGGGTTGCTAGGTGCAAAGTACTCTATGTGCCTGCTGTTACGATTCAGTAAAGGCAAAGAAAAACTTTACAACTGGAAAACAGAAGTTTTTTCTAAACTAATGATTTTTATATTAAATGGAAAGAAATAACCACAGGTATTCATCTGTTTTCTGTCACTGTGCATGAAATCAAACTAATACACTGCATCACTTTTGCCATCAGAGTTCCCCTTAGTTATATGTTTCCCCATAAAGTAAGATTATGCCTTCATGTTTGCTTCAGTAAAATCTATCTGAAAGCACATGAAACTGTCCTTAATTAGGCCATCAAAGCAAATGACAAAATTGTCTATGCCTGAAACATATTAGCAATTACCTTTCTATGTGTTGCTGCTGAGCCGTCGTGATCATACACAGATAAAGTGGTTCTTTTTAAACAGATTTGTTTGCAAAAGAAGTTTCATGGTCTATTGATTTAACAGAGCCAGCTTGTACTTTCCTCTGTGCTGGACAGAATCCATCAGCACATGTTCACTCTGCATTTTGGGTGCAGTTTGTCAGGGTTCAGAGGCAGAGAGGGGGATTGATTAGCCCAGCAGATTGCTGCACCCTTATACCCAGCCCAAGGGATGCCTGAGCTCACCCCAAAGGGCTGGAAGTGGGACAGCCACATCCATGCAGGCAGGGGGATTGGCCTGGGCACAGTGTCACGCCAGGCTGATGGTTTTCAGGCCTTGAGTTTGTGTTTCTGCAGGATGCTAAACTGTGCCCTAAAAGTTTAGCCGCTGGATGGCTCTGAGATGCCTCAGGGATTTTAGGAGCAGTGTTACTCTGTGTTGAGCTGAGCTGAAGGTGCAAGGAGCAGAAGGCTCAGTCCTGCCTCTGCTTTTGGCCCCTCAGATGACTGAGGCCATTTCACATTTCTGTGCCTTGGTTTTCCCCATGTGGATTGGGGAAGGTGCTCTGGCTGCTTCCCAGGAGAGCTTACTCCTGAAAAATGCTCTGTGGGTGCCAAGGGTGTTGGTGATGTGCGTGCCAACAGTTTCAACAATGATGTAGTGGCTGCTAAAGACAAGTTAAAGAGTAGCAGCAAGGTCGCAGCCCATGGTTACCTTCACAATAACATTTTTTTCTGCTGCTTTATTCTGCCTTTTACAGTGCGATTTGAGCACAGTTGCTGCAGCAGGCATTACACTCCCTTTGAAGTGTGATCAGTTTTTCCTGCTGAAATTCAAGTTTCCTGTAGTGGCTACATACTAAAAAGATCCAATTTCATCACAATTCCACATCAGAAGCAAGACATGAGAAGTGCAGATCTTTTAAAATCTATTTAGCCCCTGTGTTGCATTGCTCAAATTACAGATGTGGCCCTCCTTAAGGAACTGAGACTGAATGTAGAAAATAGTAAAGGAAAATTACTCGGCTAACCCTTAGGGGGACAGGCATTCTGTTAAACACAACAAACGAGCAAGTGCCAGAGAGTTACATCCAGAAGCACAGCAATCATTTAGTTACAGGCAATTAACAATAGTCTTCCAGTAGCACAGGAGTAGTTCTACTCCAAGGAAAACACATTGATTGCTGCAGCAGTAGTAGATTGGTTTCTGAATAAATAGCTTCAATTTAAAACAAGATTTGTTACAAGCATTTTGACCAATGGCTACAATTTTTTTCCTTATCAGGAGGCTTTGGCCAAGCCACTCAGTGAAAGAGACAGCTAATTAAAACAAAGCACATACCCTCTCCAAATATCTAGCATAAATGTCTTGTAATAAATGCACTCATTTTATACCTTATCTTTCCTAATTACTGGACCCATTTGTAGGCTATATCTTTGATCCTCACCTGGGTCTAATATTTGATAAACTTCCTTTCACTGTGTCATAAAGGTCATTCACTTATCATAGCTGAAGTTGTAAGAAGAAAGTAAATAAAAGTGTTCTGTCAAAGATTCGTATATTTTGACCTATATGACATGCTTCAGGGGCTTTACATTTAATGATCTGTAAAAATTTAAAATTAATTTTATTCATTAATTAGCCTTCACACAGCTGAAATACTGAGAAAAAGAATTATATTTCCAACATTCTTTTTTTTATAACTCTTTGAACACATGTGATTTATAGCTGTGTATTCAGTTCCTGAACCTGTTTCAAAATCCAATTACAGTCTATCTAAGGTTTCAATTTTGCAATCACTTACGCAGATTGCTCAACTTCATGGACTATAAGTAATCCCTCTGAAGTCAACAGGACTATTCAGAGAGCTTCAGGTTAGCACATTAATAAATCTTTGCAACTTTTTGGCCTAAACTGATTTCCATTCTCTGCTTGTCTTGGATGATTTAACTCACAAAGAGATGGGGTTTGATTAGAGGCAGTTCTCAGTTTGTTTAGGTATACTTTTATAGACTTCCATTATTAAAGGAACCATAAAGATAATGAATATCATTTGGAAGGGGAGCAGGGACTGCTGTGTTTTACCATGCAGGTTTGGTTATGAACAGGAATGTTTCTTCCAAAGGAAGAGGGAATCTGGCTAACACAGGAACACTTTTCTGAGTGTCATTTCAGAGATCAGCCATAAACAGTATGCAGAGCTTAAGTTAGCAACAAAGAAACTCATACTCAGTTTTTAAATTAAGAAGTGTGAATTTTTTAACTCTTTTTTCTTTTCTTTTCTTTTTCTTTTTCCATTCTTAGTACAGTATTTGTTATGGCATGGCTATTAAACAAATTATCTTCCCAAAGTATAACATATAGAACCATGGCTTTATAAGTGTACACATGTCCAATACATATATGTATAAAACCTACTCTCTACTTTTTTAGGAATTTTTCTTTGTTTTGTTTCAAATTGCCAAAAAAAACATGTTTATGCTAAAGGTACCTAGCTGGATATGTGTGAATATCCTATATGGATATCCAGTATGGATACTGTTATGGATAATAACTGATTGATATTGCAGGACAATAGTACTGTTGATAGCAGTAGAAGTAGATTTGTGCTACTCATTAGCTTGGTTATGAAATAATTTCTTAGCACAAAGGATATGCTTTCTGCTAGCATGGGCCATGTGTGCCTGTGGATGTCTGCAGAGTTAACTGAAGCCTAAATTTAGTCATGATTTACAAAATTATTTTCAGTGCAGTAGTTTCATTTTATTTATTAGAACTATTGGGACCTGGTTGTCTCTCTTTATTTTTTATAACAATAAATAATATATATTCCTGATTCCCTTATGAAAAAGAACTAGTCAGGTTTGGGATTATATAAACATAAGCATATATATGTGTAAATGCAACAGAGGGATCTTGT